CTCCCTCCGTCCACCCTTTGCTTCCAAAGCCGGAACGTAACATATGTAATAAAATCAAAACTAGATCTCACTGTGGAACAAGAGCTACTATGGCCCATTATCTCCTTCACTGTTTTTGATTGTTTTACGACTCTAGGAATGCCGACTTGGAGACGTCTCATTACAGGGTGGATGTATTGAATATTATGTAATTGTTGTAAGACGATTGAGGAATTCTTACGAAACATTTTAGTAGAGGGAGATTTTCAAATCTAACCATAAACCAGTGGACACAAACTAGCTGGGGAAAATGTTAACAAAATGCTACCTCATAATATAAGGAAATAAGCCATATTATTTCCATAAGAGCAATGAAGCCATTGTTTAAGAAGGCAACTTTATATGGGTTAGTGGAGCTAAATCTCACCTTCCAACATAAGCAACTACGGCCTATGATCTCCTTCACCATCAGGCCAGGAGAAATGAAACGATCCAAAAGGGGTAGGTTTTCAATGCTAATCACATGTTACTGGACACAGTCTAACTGAATAAAATCTAAATTAACCCCCACTGTCAGACAAGAGCTACTATGGCCCATCATTTCCTTCACCATTTCTAATTGTTTTACGACTCTAGAAATGCAGACTTGGAGACTTCTCGTTATGATCCAAAAAGGGGAGATTTTCAAATCTAATCACCTGGACACAAACTAAGGGAATAAAATCAAAACTAGATCTCACTGTGGAACAAGAGCTACTATGGCCCATTATCTCCTTCACTGTTTTTGATTGTTTTACGACTCTAGGAATGCCGACTTGGAGACGTCTCATTACAGGGTGGATGTATTGAATATTATAGGGTAAAGTGATCTGATTTTTTTCTTGTTAAAAAAGGTAATTTTATATCTTACATTAAAGAGTGAAACCAAGATAGAGAGCTTTGCGTGCTCCCTCCGTCCACCCTTTGCTTCCGAAGCCGGAGCATAACGTATGTAGGAATCAGCCCGGCTAGCTCAGTCGGTAGAGCATGAGACTCTTAATCTCAGGGTCGTGGGTTCGAGCCCCACGTTGGGCGAGATATGTCATTTTATGTCTCCTTTATTGAAAAAAAAAAGAGAAGGAAGGTGCTTACATTTGGCCTAGGGAATAATAAAAGTCACCATATATGAGAGCAGATTGTATATTTGAAAAACATAGAAGGTGAAGAAATAAGAGTGTAGGTCTTTGGAAAAGTGTGTCAAGAAATGTAATTGTTGTAAGACGATTGAGGAATTCTTACGAAACATTTTAGTAGAGGGAGATTTTCAAATCTAACCATAAACCAGTGGACACAAACTAGCTGGGGAAAATGTTAACAAAATGCTACCTCATAATATAAGGAAATAAGCCATATTATTTCCATAAGAGCAATGAAGCCATTGTTTAAGAAGGCAACTTTATATGGGTTAGTGGAGCTAAATCTCACCTTCCAACATAAGCAACTACGGCCTATGATCTCCTTCACCATCAGGCCAGGAGAAATGAAACGATCCAAAAGGGGTAGGTTTTCAATGCTAATCACATGTTACTGGACACAGTCTAACTGAATAAAATCTAAATTAACCCCCACTGTCAGACAAGAGCTACTATGGCCCATCATTTCCTTCACCATTTCTAATTGTTTTACGACTCTAGAAATGCAGACTTGGAGACTTCTCGTTATGATCCAAAAAGGGGAGATTTTCAAATCTAATCACCTGGACACAAACTAAGGGAATAAAATCAAAACTAGATCTCACTGTGGAACAAGAGCTACTATGGCCCATTATCTCCTTCACTGTTTTTGATTGTTTTACGACTCTAGGAATGCCGACTTGGAGACGTCTCATTACAGGGTGGATGTATTGAATATTATAGGGTAAAGTGATCTGATTTTTTTCTTGTTAAAAAAGGTAATTTTATATCTTACATTAAAGAGTTAAACCAAGATAGAGAGCTTTGCGTGCTCCCTCCGTCCACCCTTTGCTTCCAAAGCCGGAACGTAACATATGTAATAAAATCAAAACTAGATCTCACTGTGGAACAAGAGCTACTATGGCCCATTATCTCCTTCACTGTTTTTGATTGTTTTACGACTCTAGGAATGCTGACTTGGAGACGTCTCATTACAGGGTGGATGTATTGAATATTATGTAATTGTTGTAAGACGATTGAGGAATTCTTACGAAACATTTTAGTAGAGGGAGATTTTCAAATCTAACTATAAACCAGTGGACACAAACTAGCTGGGGAAAATGTTAACAAAATGCTACCTCATAATATAAGGAAATAAGCCATATTATTTCCATAAGAGCAATGAAGCCATTGTTTAAGAAGGCAACTTTATATGGGTTAGTGGAGCTAAATCTCATCTTCCAACATAAGCAACTACGGCCTATGATCTCCTTCACCATCAGGCCAGGAGAAATGAAACGATCCAAAAGGGGTAGGTTTTCAATGCTAATCACATGTTACTGGACACAGTCTAACTGAATAAAATCTAAATTAACCCCCACTGTCAGACAAGAGCTACTATGGCCCATCATTTCCTTCACCATTTCTAATTGTTTTACGACTCTAGAAATGCAGACTTGGAGACTTCTCGCTATGATCCAAAAAGGGGAGATTTTCAAATCTAATCACCTGGACACAAACTAAGGGAATAAAATCAAAACTAGATCTCACTGTGGAACAAGAGCTACTATGGCCCATTATCTCCTTCACTGTTTTTGATTGTTTTACGACTCTAGGAATGCCGACTTGGAGGCGTCTCATTACAGGGTGGATGTATTGAATATTATAGGGTAAAGTGATCTGATTTTTTTCTTGTTAAAAAAGGTAATTTTATATCTTACATTAAAGAGTGAAACCAAGATAGAGAGCTTTGCGTGCTCCCTCCGTCCACCCTTTGCTTCAAAGCCGGAGCGTAACATATGTAGGAATCAGCCCGGCTAGCTCAGTCGGTAGAGCATGGGGAACTCTTAATCTCAGGGTGCGTGGAGTTCGGAGAATTACGTTGGTAGAGATATGTCATTATGTCTCCTTGTTGAAAAAAGGAAGGAAGGTGCTTACATTTAGCCTAGGGAATAATAAAAGTCTACCATATATGAGAGCAGATTGTATATTTGAAAAACAGAAGGTGGAAAGAAATAAGAGTGTAGGTCTTTGGAAAGTGTGTCAAGAAATATGAATTGTTGTAAGGCGATTTGGGGAATTCTTACGAAACATTTTAGTAGAGGAATTTTCAAATCTAACATAAACCAGTGGACACAAACTAGCTGGAAAATGTTAGCAAAATGCTACCTCATATATATAAGGAAATAAGCCATATTATTTCCATAAGAGCAATGAAGCCATTGTTTAAGAAGGCAACTTTATATGGGTTAGTGGAGCTAAATCTCACCTTCCCACATAAGCAACTACGGCCTATGATCTCCTTCACCATCAGGCCAGGAGAAATGAAGCGATCCAAAAGGGGTAGGTTTTCAATGCTAATCACATGTTACTGGACACAGTCTAACTGAATAAAATCTAAATTAACCCCCACTGTCAGACAAGAGCTACTATGGCCCATCGTTTCCTTCACCATTTCTAATTGTTTTACGACTCTAGAAATGCAGACTTGGAGACTTCTCGTTATGATCCAAAAAGGGGAGATTTTCAAATCTAATCACCTGGACACAAACTAAGGGAATAAAATCAAAACTAGATCTCACTGTGGAACAAGAGCTACTATGGCCCATTATGTCCTTCACTGTTTTTGATTGTTTTACGACTCTAGGAATGAATACCGACTTGCAGAGCGTCTCATTACAGAATTGGATGTATTGAATATTATAGGGTAAAAGTGATCTGATTTTTTCTTGTTAAAAAGGCCAATTTTTATATCTTACATTAAAGAGTTAAACCAAGATAAGTAGCGTGCTCCCTCGATCCACCTTTGCTTCAGCCGAACACGTAACATATGTAGAATCACATCGGCTAGCTCGGTCGGTAGAGCATGAACTCTTTATCTCAGAAGTGCATTGATTTAGAACCCGCGTTGAAGCGAGATATGTCATTATGTCTCCTTTATTGAAAAAAGGGAAGGTGCTTACATTTTGGCCTAGGGAATAATAAAGTCACCATATATGAGAGCAGATTGTATATTTGAAAAACATAGAAGGTGAAAGAAGTAAGTATAGAGTCTTTGGAAAAGTGTGTCAAGAAATGTAATTGTTGTAAGACGATTGAGGAATTCTTATGAAACATTTTAGTAGAGGGAGATTTTCAAATCTAACCATAAACCATTGGACACAAACTAGCTGGGGAAAATGTTAACAAAATGCTACCTCATAATATAAGGAAATAAGCCATATTATTTCCATAAGAGCAATGAAGCCATTGTTTAAGAAGGCAACTTTATATGGGTTAGTGGAGCTAAATCTCACCTTCCCACATAAGCAACTACGGCCTATGATCTCCTTCACCATCAGGCCAGGAGAAATGAAACGATCCAAAAGGGGTAGGTTTTCAATGCTAATCACATGTTACTGGACACAGTCTAACTGAATAAAATCTAAATTAACCCCCACTGTCAGACAAGAGCCACTATGGCCCATCATTTCCTTCACCATTTCTAATTGTTTTACGACTCTAGAAATGCAGACTTGGAGACTTCTCGTTATGATCCAAAAAGGGGAGATTTTCAAATCTAATCAGCTGGACACAAACTAAGGGAATAAAATCAAAACTAGATCTCACTGTGGAACAAGAGCTACTATGGCCCATTATCTCCTTCACTGTTTTTGATTGTTTTACGACTCTAGGAATGCCGACTTGGAGGCGTCTCATTACAGGGTGGATGTATTGAATATTATAGGGTAAAGTGATCTGATTTTTTTCTTGTTAAAAAAGGTAATTTTATATCTTACATTAAAGAGTTAAACAAAGATAGAGAGCTTTGCGTGCTCCCTCCGTCCACCCTTTGCTTCCGAAGCCGGAGCGTAACGTATGTAGGAATCAGCCCGGCTAGCTCAGTCGGTAGAGCATGAGACTCTTAATCTCAGGGTAGATGGGTTCGAGCCCGCGTTGGGCAGATATGTAATTTTATATGTCTCCTTTATTTGAAAAAGAAATTAAGGAAGGTAGCACACATTTGGCCTGGGAATAATAAAAGTCACCATATATGAGAGCGAATTGTATATTTGAAAAACATAGAAGGTGAAGAAATAAGAGTGTAGGTCTTTGGAAAAGTGTGTCAAGAAATGTAATTGTTGTAAGGCGATTGAAATTCTTAGTATTTTAGTAGAGGAGATTTTCAAATCTAACTTAGCAAACCAGTGGACACAAACTAGCTGGGGAAAATGTTAACAAAATGCTACCTCATAATATAAGGAAATAAGCCATATTATTTCCATAAGAGCAATGAAGCCATTGTTTAAGAAGGCAACTTTATATGGGTTAGTGGAGCTAAATCTCACCTTCCCACATAAGCACCTACGGCCTATGATCTCCTTCACCATCAGGCCAGGAGAAATGAAACGATCCAAAAGGGGTAGGTTTTCAATGCTAATCACATGTTACTGGACACAGTCTAACTGAATAAAATCTAAATTAACCCCCACTGTCAGACAAGAGCTACTATGGCCCATCATTTCCTTCACCATTTATAATTGTTTTACGACTCTAGAAATGCAGACTTGGAGACTTCTCGTTATGATCCAAAAAGGGGAGATTTTCAAATCTAATCACCTGGACACAAACTAAGGGAATAAAATCAAAACTAGATCTCACTGTGGAACAAGAGCTACTATGGCCCATTATCTCCTTCCCTGTTTTTGATTGTTTTACGACTCTA